CCATTTCTTCCTTTCCATCTGACAGTCAGTTTCCATCTGAGGATTTTTCATTGTTTATATCTTTTTATGGGAAAGAAACAAATCCAATGGTTTTAGAAAGTCATAGTTCCCCATTCAAACTGCAAAAAAATGTGGTGACCAAAATTCTGGACATGAATACTGGCGGAGCAAATCCATAAAATCCACTTGCAAACCATCTGGATAGTGACCCAATGGCCAATCATTTCAGGCCATGTGGCGATATGTGCATTTTGCCCCTAAAGATTCACAAGCAGTTTGTCTCAGAACGACCAACCGTTTTTTTTGTCCGGGCTTCAAAAGAGGTGGGCTATCTGAAAAAAAACATCCAATATCATTCATCTTGACCAGATGTTCATATATCTTGGTAAATTATCATATTTCACTAACCTGAAATAAGGCTATTTTGGGATGATTTCCCTTATTAACCATGATTTCCAGGGCTCGGTCGCAGGGCTCGGTCGTGAATGAAATTTACCCAGATATTCTTCCCCAGAAAATCCCAATCCAAAAATGGAATCTGCATAGAATCCTGGTTTTTTTTTATGGGTTTGTCTGAAAATAGTGTACCCCTACACCCAATGGTTAATGATCATTATCCCTACTATAAATGGCTATAATTGGGGGTATACCCCATTTTCAGACATACCCTGATGTTTTTTTTCAGGTTTTTGAAACCCCTGGTGCCCCCGATCCGCCGCGATCCGCCGCAGCTTAAAGCACCTCCTGCAACTGCTCCTGGTCTGCCAGCATGTCTAAGGTATCGTCTCCGAAGAGTGGTGACACACACCCTGGACCTGCGCAGCGAGATGGCAGCTGTCGAGATTTGTGAAGGATAGCCTCCGATAAAACATACAAAAAGCCATGGAAAATCACCATGAAGAGCGAAATCAACTATTTCGACTGGGCCATGGGCCATGTTCAAGTTCGCTTTTTGTATGATATTTGTATGTATACTAAGTATACCATTTCTATGTTCAAGTTCGCTTTCATTTTCAATTTCATAGCTTTCAATAGTATATTCATATGTTTACCAAGTATCCCAAGTGATTGAAGAATCCACGGAGATAGATACCTACCAAGTATCCCGGTGCCTTGCTGAGCGAATGCCATACTCCTTGACATATCCACGAGCCTCGGTATCCATCCATCTGCAAGCCCATCCTTCTAGTTGGTTTATTGTGATTGATATACCCTCTGGTAAACATACAAAAAACGATGGAAAATCACCATTTTTTTATGGGAAAACTCACTATTTCTATGGTCATGTTCAATAGCTATGTTAAATTACCAGAGGGTATTGGTGATATATATATATATATATTGATATTGGCATATGATATGTTATATCCATGTTGAATCACCTATATCATATATATATATATATCCCATGACGGATCCATGGTGCTGGTATATGCAAGCTAACATAAAGGGGGTATTTCTTGATGGGATCCATGGAGCACCATTTTTCTAGCAGCACTTAAATGGATCCGTCATGGGTATATAACCAACTAGTTACATGAGTTATAATTTATCATTTCGAACTGAGGGCCACAAGTGTAGAAACCCTGAGGATTGCCTATAGTTTGTTCTCAGGCAGATTACATTTACAACATCTTGATGTCATTTTTCAAACTCTTTTTGCATGTCTTCAATATTCCACTGGGATTATTCTGCTTGGTATGGTATCCCGTCAAAAATGGGCTAGTATTTTTATGAAAACATAAGGACTTAGTAACTCATGTACCCTCCGGTAATCAAACGTGGCAATGGAAAATCCACCATTTACAATCATGTACATCTGATTTCCCATGATTTCCCATATGAAAACCTCCATTTTGTGGGGGGATGTTCAATTGCCATGTTTGATGACTTTCCAGAGGGTACCCGGCCTGGTAAACATACAAAAAACTATGGAAAGATCCATCATTTTTCATGGGAAAATCCACTATTTCTATGGTCATTTTCAATAGCTATTTTGACATAACCAGAGGGTAAGTCCCAAACCCTCTCCGGTTGGGCCCCAAACGGTTCATCTGGGGACGACGAAGATCTTCGGGATGATGGGCTAGCAGGACCCTGCCCGGCCTCAGCAGGGTCAAAGTTGTGCCATGATGAACTGAGAAGTTGGGCTTCCCATATGGTGATGAGGCGATGTCAGAATTTTAAGGGTTACCTCTGGAATTAATGATGGTTAATGGTGGTTAATGGATATTACTATCCTCTGGTAAATTTTCACAGTTTGACCCTGAAAATCACCATTTGTTAGAAACTCATCTTCCAACCCCTACGAGTATCTGCCAGGGTCAAACTGTTAATTTACTGGAGGGTATGTTGAAGTATTGAAATGTGAAACCATCATGTTTCTGATGATATGTCTGGTGAACGTTTCTGATAAACCAGCCATGTTTCTGGTAGAATTTCGTCCATAGCCCAAAGAGACAGTTTCTGGGGGATTCACATTTCATGCCACCATGCCTAAAATCACCAGTTTTGTGGGTGGTAAAAACTTTAGTTATTTAACATAGCCATGGAAAATGGCCCATTTATCGATGATTTTCCCATTAATAGCATGGTGATTTCCCATAGTTTTTTGTATGTTTACCAGAGGGTAATCGAAAAAAATATCCAAATAATTACATCCAAAATATCCAAATAATTACCAGCGTGATATCCAAAATATCCAAATACATCGTATGGATTCATATGTTAAATAACCAGATGGTATAAACTTTTTTAAAATCATCCTGGGCATCGTACCACGGAAGGCGGCAACAGATGGCCCTGATGGCCCGCGGCAAGTCCGGTGAAACGAACACAACTTGACATCGTCCGATCTATCAGGTGGCACTTGGAATATCTTGGAATTGTATCATGTGTGCATGTATGTATGTATGTATGTATGTATGTATATATATATACATATTATATATAGATTATATATATATATACATACATATCTATATATACAGCTATCTATACATATATGTATATATATATTATATATATAGTGTGAATGTATGAATGATCCCAGTCATTGTCCACTTTAACCTTCAGAGATCCACCAACGGGATTCCAGCATTTCTCAGGTCCAGAGATGCGCCCAGTTGCTGAAAAGACTGCGAGTGGAAAAAGGGGAGATCATTTGCTGCCAGGGTGGAGTCAATTCACAATACATACATATATACGCAGCCAAGGACATACCTAATACAAAAAATGTAGGTCTTGGGGGGGGGGTAGCATATATATATATACATATATATATATATATGATCATACGTATATGTATCGAATCTTCATTTCAGACCATGATTCCACGAGATATTCCAACTTCAACAGCTTAGATCTGCACTCGCCTGAGGACTGGATGGAGACACTGGCATAGCATAGATCTGCGTGGCACAGAGCTATGGGTTTTTTTGATGACAAGATGTGACGAGATATCTCGTTGATTCATTGATACCCTCTGGTAAACTAACATAGCTATGGAAAATCACCATTTTTAATGGGAAAATCCACTATAAATAGCCATTTTCAATAGCTATGTTAAATTACCAGAGGGTATATGATATGTATTATAATTATATTGTAATATCCCATCCTTTATACTTCATATGATATGTATGATAGTTGTACTAGAATATCCCATACTTTATATACTTTACCTCAGTTCTTTTTCTGATAAAAAGATGTGAAAGGAACAGATGTCGACACAATTCGCGCAGCCATCAACTCCTGTTTTCAATCCATCTGGCGCTTTTGCGAACTGGCGGCACGTCGTCACCTGAGTTGCGGAGAAAAAAAATCAGGCCCATCCAGACGACTCCATTGTCCTGATGGAAAATCTGGGATCAATGCCCATCACCATCACCCCAATATAGGGTGAATATTATATATATATAGATATATATAATATATATATATATATTCACCCTGAAGAATTGGGGGGTTCCATTGGCTTTTTTCCCAGTCATAAAAACACCTGGCAGGGAACCTCAATGGGGTTTGCCATGGTGATGGTGCGCAGGGGGGTACGGTATGGTCAACCATCAAGCTGGCGGAATCCTAAGAGTTCTGACGGAATGGCTGTAGAAATCCCAAAAAATGTCAATGATTTTCTATGAACATTTCACATGGATGACTATTCCAAATCCCCAAAAACTGGGCCATTTACCCAAGCAAATGGATCATGGCAACTCTTTGCTCTCATGTTTTCGCCCTAACTTGCAGCGCTCTCGATGCTCTCGGCTCATTGACTTCAGAGTCAAGGGCATGTAGACAGGGCCCGTAGGGTCACTGTATGACCTATATATACAGCTGATCTTCAGATCAGCGCAGCAACCGCTGCATGGTTCCGGCTCTTCCGAGGTTCTCTGAAAAAATAAATTGTCTTTTGTGGACAGTGGATATGATCTTGATTTATCAGGGTCTGTCCAACTAATCAGTACTTGTGTCTTGTGTCCCTATCGACAAACTAAATGGGGATCTACCTTGCAAAAAAAAACTACCTGTGACAAATGAAAACCACGACAACATTAATGTCAACCCTGGATTAATAAACCCCTAGATTGCTCAATTGGGAGGGTACCATTTAAGTATCAGAATATTGACTATTGGAGGAGTACCCCCCTAATCAATAAACCCATGGTTTATTAATCCGGGGTTGACATTAAAACCCAAGATCACTAATAAAACATATATAAACTATTAACTGACCACATCCAAAAAAAAATGGTTGCCACAGAAGAGCCCAGGGTGTGTCTGTGAATGGCCACTTCTCCTACGACAGCTTCTGCTTGGACGTTCACTTGTGTGACACAATGTTTGTGGTCCCCACTTTTGGCACCGAAAAAAATGACGATATTTTCGGATCTTTCATAGGATCTAAATTCTATAACAGTAACTCTAGTTCGAAGCGCTGTTTCCACTATGTTTGGGGTGTTATACGTTCATAGATCTTCCAGCTTTTTCCATGTTTTTTAGTGCTTTTTCGTGCCAGTGGTAGATGGTAGCAGCTGGTAGCATCAACACGTTATGTGTGTGGGTTGACACGACTCAAATGCTCACCACTTTCTGGAGGCTTTGCTCATTCACAACCGAGGTCGCTATCCATTGACCCAGCTGAGAATCTCCATCACTGGCGAAGAACCTGTGACAAAGTGGCCATAGCGGTTGACGAAAAAGACTAAAAAATCCAAGCTGTTCACCCAAAAATGAAAGTCCGAGCTTAAAAAAAACTCGAACAAGTAGGGTTCATGATACATACTAGTGTATATATATATATTATGTGTATATATATATTATATATATATTACCATTATATGGGGATGTTCTCCATGTTCAACAACGAAACGCAACAAAATCCACCAACTCTCAGTATCTCTCAGTGCCCCACTCCAACTCCTCCGAGGTTAGCCAAGAGTAGAGGAAAACGTCTCCCTCCCACCAAATGGCGAGAATGTCCTGGCAATGGATAGATCATCACTAAAATATCTAGACAAATATGGATGGATCTCACTTAAATATCTAGATCAATAGATGTGTAAATGATAATTTAATGATAATTTAATGATCATATTCATCATCTATAAATCATCTATAAAATCAGCAGATTTGAAGATATGAATCATTGGTAAAAGTGGATTCATTGATTTAGATCACTGTAACTACGACATTTGGGGCCGACCAAAATGTACACGTTGGCGTATCACATCATGGCTTTCGAGAAAAAGGTGTGACCCCCCCTCTTTCTGGTGCAAGCGCAACCTTTCTCTAGCTTTGTTTCTCTGCGATTCTTGGGAAGAATCCACATTCTGATTGGATTTTCATAATTTTCTCCTGATATGTCCTCAAAAATAGCCATGTTTCGGGGGTTCTCGCTGGCTTCCCATCCCCAAAAAACATCCTACGCTGATCTCGAGGTCCTCTTTGGGTACATTCATAGCTCTGACCTTCGTTGGTCTGAAGCTTCCAGCAACAGAGGCCACACACTTGAGATGGTATGATTTCTGTGGCCATTTCTGAACTACCACTTCTCAACAACGAATCATGGCTGGGGCTACTGCAAACTCGAATTTTTCAAGTAAACACCTTCTGTAAACTATAAATGCCCCAAAACATGCTATACAATTGCTATAAAAACATCTATAGCATAGAAATATTTTTATAGAAGTGACTCAAATGGCTGGCTCCGGCTGGCTCCCCATGGCTTTTTTTTTCCAAAATTTGACCCAGCCGTTGCAAGTCACTGAGCTCCTGACACGCTGGGTATTCGGAAACTTGGATCCATCAAGCCTTCGAAGATCAGTTGATTGGACCTGAACGCCGTCGTTCCCAAGATTTCTCAGCTACCCTCTGGTTATGTCAAAATAGCTATTATAAATCACCATTTCTAATGGGTAAATCAACTATAAATGGCAATTTTCAATAGTTATGTTAAATTACCAGAGGGTATATCAGTGATCAATGGGAGATCTTCAGGATCCAATTGATGGAGGTACCGATTCCATATATAAGGCCTATTTTTCAGGGCTATGTAAGGGGATATACCCCCAAAATATGGCCGTATATGGTACAGTACCTCCATTTTAGGATCCTGAAGATCTCCCATTGAAGTGATATGGAAAATCACCATTTTTAACTAACTAATCTTTGGTATATCCCCATTACCCCAAGTATCTTGGAAAAATGATCAGTTGATTTACCATCAAAAAAGATGATATATCCCCAGCAAAAATGATTGGGAAATCACCATCTTTAAGTTCGGTAAACTAACCGGAAAAAAATTGAAGGATAAATCAACATCTTTTTTTTAACCCTCTGGTAAACGTTTACAGTTTGCGAACTGGAAAATCACCATCTTTAAGAACGGTAAATCAACTATTTCTATGTGCCATTTTCAATAGTTATGTAACAAATTACCAGAGGGTAACTTCACCAAGTTCTTTTCGATTTCACAAATGTTTACCAACTTTGATCCTGAAAAGCTGGCGTTATTTCACCAAGCCACGCTCCGGAGGCAGTTCGGCCGTGGTGTCCAACATTGTTACATAGGTTGCATTTTCTATATGATTGGGAACAGTTCATGATGAAGGATTGTTTTGAATGTGTTTTGTTGATGTGATATCAATGATATCCCCAGGATTTTATGTGATGTTATGGTGGTTGCTAGAGGTTTCTAGACAAAAATTCTTTGGTGGATCAGGAGTTGGTAGCACATGGATTTCCGCGTCAATTGAACAACATCTCCGGAAAATCTGGTCCAGAATACATCTCCAATTGTCACCATTTATTTCAGTTATAGTTGGTTGTCCAATATGAGTAGAAATGTTGGTAAAGCAGTAATAAACCACCCATTGTTGATGTGATGCGTCAAAAACCAGCCACAAAAATGGTGAAATTAGGCGGTGGTGGATCCTGTTGCTTTTCTAGCATCATAATCCATATAGTTCAATTTATAGTTGATGATCCAATATGAGTATATATATATATCCAATTAATAGTTGGTTATCCACTTTTTTTTGTTGGTTGTCCATATGGAGGCTTCCTAAGTCATGGGGTTACCCCCAGTTATCATCCACTTTTTCTAAATTGGATTCTCCAAGAAACTCCAATGTGGACAACCAACTATAAAGTGGATAACCAACTATTAATTGGATATATATATATACTCATATTGGATCATCAACTATAAATTGAACTATATCTTGATCACCAACCAACTCTTAATGAATTGGATCTACACTCATATCATCATATCTTTAGATCACCAACTCAGAAAAACCCTCTAAAACCAACGCCAAAAAAGGCACCCCATGGCACCACGATCCCCCCCCTTTCGCGGACTGGCGACTTCTTGGGCCCGGCGGCAGCGCTCATGGCACCGGTGATGCTGAATCGCCTTGATCTGGCAGTGGGGATGACCTGCGAAAAACATGGCGGCATGGAAACCGGCCGGGAACAGGAACGCAGGCATGAGATATCATGGATGTAGACTATAGACTATGGGATATGGGATATGGGATATGCATGGCCAAAGATGGCATTGGAAACCGGCCAAAGATGGCATGAGATATCATGGATGTATAGATATAGATATGGAATATGGGATATGGGATATGAATGGATATGAATGGATATAGATATATCAAAATAATTCAAAATATATCATTCTGAACAATGTATATCTGTGGGATCATGACTATCCAAAATTGGGCTTTCCTGTCACCGGGAAACTGGCGATCTGGCGGTTAATCCTTTGGATCAGGGAGGAAGCTGACTATGAAAGACCATTGGATACAACGATTCTGGTCCATACCAAAAAACTATGGAAACTCACCATGTTTAATGGGAAAACTCACTATTTCTATGGCCATGTTCAATAGCTTTTTGTATGTTTACCAGAGGGTACCCTTTGGGTATTTGGTTACCCTCTGGTAAACGTTTACAGTTTGCGAACTTGAATAGCTGGCCCAATCGAAATGAAGTGGATTTTCCCAGCTAGATAGCATGGTGGATCTTTCCATCTGATTCCAGGTGATTTTTTGGAATTTGCCCAGTTTCACATACCCAATGTGATCCCAATGCGTGCGTGTGTGTGTGTGTGTCTGTTATGGGAACTACCTTCCTTACCCTTCTTCCAACCAGGTTTCTTGAATACAAAAAACAAAGTTTGCTTTGAATTCAGACAAACGAAAACTTAAATTGGAATGAGATATCTCATGTATCCATTGTATCCATTGAATAGTGTATCCATTCTATCCATGTTATATCCATATATATCCATTGTCATTATATGGATATATAAGATATATATGGATATAACAATGATAACTATGGATATATATATATATATCCAAGATATATACATAGATAGTAGGTTTCCACATGTTATATCCATTCTATCCATATTTGTGTGAAAAAGTGACAAAAATCCCGTGGAAACCTTCGGCCGCGGCCCTTTTGGCCTCTTCGCTTTCACCCGTGAGCACGATGCCACGAGAGAGTACTCCCAGTCTGCCGTTGACCATCCGTTCGATGGCTTGACCGACGATTTCTTGGCCCTCGGAAACTCATGGTTTTTGTGTAGGGCAAAGGCAACAAAAACTGTGAAGAGTTTGGAAACTGCTTGGCGGAGGTGGGTATGTTTGATTTAAGCCACAACAGAAAAGTTGTTCATGTAGTTGCAGTAGTCAACTCAATCATCAACCATTCCCAAATGGTAGGTTTCTCATTGGCTTTAGCCACATCACCTTTAAACCTTCTTGGCAAACGCTGAGCCCGTGGCCGGTCTCACGTCGATGGCGGGGAGTTTGCAGGCCGTGGTCGTCTTGTTCTTTTTCCACCTCTCAGCTGCGAAGTTGGCGTGGAATCCAGGAAGGTCATCGGAAGAATTTTCCCGTTTGAAGATCATTACCCGGCCTGGTAAACGTTAACATAACTATATGGAAAGATCCACCATGCTATTAATAGGTAAATCAATTATTTCAATAGCCCACAATAGCTCATATTTTCAATAGCTGTTTCTATGTTTACCATATTTACCAGAGGTTAAAGAATGTTAAAAATATCTCAGCAGAATTACCATCTCCAATCATCCCAGTGATCTGCTGATCCCATGCGTTCCTCGCTTCCTCGCCTGCCAAGCTGTGTGAGTATTCGGCCATCGTTTCGAAAGAGTCGAAGCACCTCCTCCTGGATCCCAAAATTTTACCAGATGCCCAAAGCAAGATGCCCAGATGCTCGATGTATGGAAGATTTACCCTCTGGTAATTTAACATAACTATGGAAAATCACCATTTTTAATGGGAAAACTCACTATTTCGACTGGGCCATTTTCAATAGCTATGTTAGTTTACCAGAGGGTACCTACATTTACCCAAAAAAAATGGCCCAAAAAAAACGGTAGGTCAATATTCCAGCACCATGGAGCATATGGGATGAACAAAGACATCCTCTGATATTGGTTTCATCTACATTTCACCCTGGTTTCAGGGGGATGGAAAACATATATTTCGGGAATGAAAACCCACAACTTCAAGCTGCTCGAAACTTCATCCCAAATCATCAGAAATCCCATGGAGTGTGAAAAAACCCACAGCACCTGGTGTTGCGCAACGGACTTCACACTTCTGGTGCTCGGTGAGCTCCTTTTGTTGGGGCCGGAGTTGGGCCCCCAAAGCCCCATGGTGCGAACGTGACCCTCTGGTTATGAAACGTAGCGAACTGGAAAATCACCCCGTGTCTATCGGAAAATCATCATAAATCAATATAAATCATCATGTTTTATCATCTATATAGATGGGCAGTCTTCCATAGCCCATAGCTATGTCAATCATTAGAGCCATAAATTGGACTGTCCTTCATGAGACAAAACCCATTTATATAACTTGTAGGTCCGACCTCAGGCCCCGAAAAAGCCCAACGTCGGGGCTTTTCTGGGCATTTCTGTCAAAAAATCTGGGAGCCAAAATAAACCAGCCAATGTGAAGAAGTTCGATCTTCCAATCCTTTTCAGGTTTTTGAGTACCCCATTTTCAAACCCATTTTTCCTGTACCGATCAACAGTTTGGATAACATTGTACAGCTACTCACCACCCTTAAAATGTTGGAACCCCATAAAATGCATTGGTTTCCCATCTATAACCCTCTATCAGTCTATTCAATGTCTATTCATTATAGTTGTTAGTCAAATCGCCTTCCCAACTCATCGATGATAATGAAGATCCCCAAGATTTAGTATAGTCAGCCAACCCGCCAACCATTTATCAAATATAATATATATATATATAGCCCGGTTCTTTTAACTCTAAAAACCCCCATAATTCATCATAATTCCATAATTGATGGTTAAAATTTGAAACACTTACATCATACTTTGTCCCATTGAAATCCCATTTTTTTGTCTGTTTCTTTCCCACAAATTTGGATCATTTGCGGCTCCTGTTAGGGTTTTCCTTCATCGACACCGGGGACAAATCCGCATCCAGCTGCGCGCGTTTCTTGGGCGACGCCGTAGCGGTCACCACGGCCGTGGCGTTGGGTGTGCCGTCCACAGGTGGGTCGCTCGGATGAGTCTGCGGCTTACCTGCGCTTTTGGTGTACCCTCTGGTAAACATACAAAAAACTATGGAAAGATCCACCATTTTTAATGGGAAAATCCACTATTTCTATGGTCATTTTCAATAGCTCTGTTAAATTACCAGAGGGTAAATCATTGAACTTCATAGAAAACATCTGAAAACATAGGAAAGACCGCATGGATGGCTTCAAAGTTGAAGACTAACAGATTATCTGAACTTTTCTGGATTTGTAGGACAGTGGTTTCTTGCCGGAACAGGATGGAAAATGAGCAGGAAAGCCCTTGATAAATTGTCAACAACCAAGGGTTTCCTATAAAAGTTCCCTTACTTCGGTCCAACGATTCATCAGTTGCTGTCAGATCAATCACCGGCCATTTTGTGGTGCCAAGCCGTCAACCAAGCCGCTCTTTTCTTGGCCAAACCTCGGAAAAGCCACTTACTTCTTGGAGGATCATCCCACTTCATGCCACAACCCTGGTGAGTGGATCGTCCCCGAAGTGGATTCTCCCAGAAGTGGATCACCATAGACCCTCTGGTAATTTGTCAACAGTTTGGTTAAGTTTTTCATAGCTGGCCCAGTCGAAATAGTTGATTTACCCATGAATAGCATGGTGGATCTTTCCATCGTTTTTTGGGACTGTTCACCAGAGGCTAGTTACATGGTGCACTTTGCGAGTTGTGGGATGATCCAACTGAGGGTCGATTCGGTCTATGGGAACTGGAAAGTCACATGGCGAACCTCGGAAAATCACCATATGTTTTAATGGGCATCGAAGTGACTGGGCCCTGGTTTCCATCTTTTTTTCAAACAAATGTGACCAGAGGGTACAGTGAAACAGCACCTGATAAATTAAAAAGATGTTGAATCTTTCAGATTCCATCCCCGATGTTTCTTGGTTACATCAGTTATATCCTCACGATATCCAAAAATAGCCAGGGCCCGCACGTATCAATGCGGCCTCGCATCTCCACAATGTCCTGCACCAAGATGGCATGAACATTCATTGACCATCCCCAACTGGAATTTTTCATGATCTTTACTGAGCTTTACCCTCTGTTAAATTAACAGTTTGACCCTGGCAGTCATCGGGGGGGTTGGAAGATTAGTTATATTAGTTTCAACGAACAAATGGTGATTTTCAGGGTCAAACTGTGAAAAATTACCAGAGGGTAACGACTTTGAGGTTTCTTGGAGGATTAGAAGCCACCGTCATGAACAGTCGCTGAACATTTCTCCACGTCCACGTCCTGTCTGAAGCTTTTCAGTGTGTCATTCACAGAATGCTGAGCTTTCTCCAAGCCCGTCAGCTTCCACTCAATTCGACGTTGTGCCTCGGTCACATCACAGCAGGTCACAGCAGGTCATCGGTCGGTCACCAAAAGCCCAAGGTTTATGTGGTGTTTCATGGTGAAAAACAAAAGTGAGTTCCAGCCCAAAATATCAACCAGTCTCCGAATTGCCAACATCTGAAGAAAAATAGGGATCCACAATGGATTTTTTGCATCCCCATCATCCCCATGTTTCCAACCGCTTGGAAGCTGTGTGAAGCTATTCGGGGGCTAGTATAAATTATCCCAAGGAAGGCTATGCCAGGGTGAAATGATCTGTTTTGTCCAATTTCCATACAGGTCCAAATTGCCAAAGGGGGATGGCCCAAAATTGCCATTGAAGATGAAGAAAACATCAGAAAACCATGCTGATCAGTTGACTTTTCGATTTCCTACTCAGGCAGCTCCAACTGGCTTCAAAGACATTCGCTTGGCGGAGGCCCAAGGTGACGAAAGGCATGAGCCCCTCCCATTTTGTCCGTCTGTGGCCATGCCTTGTTATCTCAATATCTCGATGGCCAAAACCCACTAGAAATGAGGGTTTCAATATGTTTCAATCATCAATGCTGTGGCTTTCGAAGCTGTTCAAAAAAAAATCGCTATGGATCAAAGTTGGATGGCTCAGCTGGAAAATCCGCTGGAAAATCCCTCATTTATTGATGATTTCCCCAGCCAACAAAAAAACCTTAAAATTTATAGATGTTCCCCAGCTATTCAAAACCTCTATATTTATTGATGATTTTCCCATGGTTTTTCCAGCTCCTAGGCTCCAGTTTACCTTTGGTCGCTCTGAGGCATCGGGCCGCCAGTAGAGCTTGTAGATCTGTCAGGACTCGCAGCAAGGTCACGTTCTTCGCGCTGAGCGGAGCGGGGTTTTTTATACCATCCAGTGGGATCATCACTTGGGGAATCCCAAGTGAAGCCCCAAAAACATCAAAAAACGGCCAGTTCCTTGGATGATTTTCCCAGTTTTTTTGGTTTGATGGTTGTTTACTTTGGGGGATTAGCAAGGTTTGATGGCTTGAGGAAATCGATTTTTTTGGATGTTGTTGATTGTTGGTGCTACTTGTTTTTCTGAAACAAAGAATTTGAGCCAAGCTTTGATGCAAATCCATTGAGGTTTCCACTCTTCTGAAGAGCCCATGACGGTCGAAATCATTCGAAAGGCGCAAACTGTGATGCCCGTTGGTATATCACTATAGTTAACTCCCCTAGGTGCAGTTGTTGCAGTTCTTGCAGTCCATCAGTTCTGCAACTCAAACTTCAAATGCTTCACATTTCTTTCAGATATGAAATCAGAAACCTTGAAACTTGATGCGCGCTGGAATTTGGCTGGTCTATGCGACTTGCAATGCTTGAGAAGCAAACAGCTTCATTTGGGCCATGGGAAAGCTTCAGCATCACGTTTTCGCTGTTTCTACACCTGGTCAAATGGGAATCGATTCCAACCAACAGTGCCGATTACCGAGTTCCTCTGGCACTGGAGTGAGACCTTTCTATGACAGGCTCTACCGAACTCTTCTGGAAAAATGAACGAAGCCAAAAACCTTGCTTTTCAACAAGGAAGTAATTTGAAGAAAATAACCCGCCGACTCGACCGTTGCTAGGTGCGCTGCCCTTTGCGATGGGCGATGTCAGCTGCTTTGCTTCGCTAAGACTGTGCATGCGAAGGGACTGACTGGGTGCCCATAAAAAATCCGCCGGCCCCGGCCTTGGCCAAGGCAGGGGCGGCGCCTGGGACCACCGCAGGTGTGGAACTTCTCCTTCTTCGCTTTCCACGGTCAAACCCATCTTGCAGCCATCAAGCCACATCAATAGCTTCTTATGGCCACTCTTGCAGGCAACAGGCACCCCAGCCAACATGCACCCCAGGGCCACACATCAATGGCTTCTTATGGGCGTCCAAGTCTGCCCTTTGCCAGCCCTAAAACCCTCCAAACGCTCCAAACCCTCCAAACCCTTAAAACCCTCCAAACCCTTAAAAACCGTAAAACCCTTAAAACGTTGACTTGGCATGCTTCATCCTGCAGCCAACAGCCACCCCGCGCCACACATCAATGGCTTCTTATGGCCACTCTTGCAGCCATCCGGTTCTTATGGCCACTCTTGCAGGCAACAGGCACCCCAGCCAACATGCACCCCAGGGCCACACATCAATGGCTTCTTCTGGGCGTCCAAGTCTGCCCTTTGCCAGCCCTAAAACCCTCCAAACTTCACCCTGCAGCCAACAGCCACCCCGCGCCACACATCAATGGCTTCTTATGGCCACTCTTGCAGCCGCTTCTTATGGCCACTCTTGCAGGTTGACTTGGCATGCTTCATCCTGCAACCAACAGCCACCCCGCGCCATGGCTTCTTATGGCCACTCTTGCAGCCGCTTCTTATGGCCACTCTTGCAGGTTGACTTGGCATGCTTCATCCTGCAACCAACAGCCACCCCGCGCCACACATCAATGGCTTCTTATGGGCGTCCAAGTCTGCCGTTTGCCAGCCCTAAACCCCTCCAAACCCTTAAAACGCTCCAAACCCTCCAAACCCTTAAAACCCTCCAAACCCTTAAAAACCGTAAAACCCTTAAAACGTTGACTTGGCATGCTTCATCCTGCAACCAACAGCTACCCCGCGCCACACATCAATGGCTTCTTATGGCCACTCTTGCAGCTAACCGGCACCCCAGGGCCACACATCAATGGCTTCTTATGGGCGTCCAAGTCTGCCGTTTGCCAGCCCTAAAACCCTCCAAACCCTTAAAACGCTCCAAACCCTCCAAACCCTTAAAACCCTTACAAACCGTAAAACCCTTAAAACGTTGACTTGGCATGCTTCATCCTGCAGCCAACAGCTACCCCGCGCCACACATCAATGGCTTCTTATGGCCACTCTTGCAGCCAACCGGCACCCCAGGGCCACACATCAATGGCTTCTTATGGGCGTCCAAGTCTGCCGTTTGCCAGCCCTAAAACCCTCCAAACCCTTCAAAACCGTAAAACCCTTAAAACGTTGACTTGGCATGCTTCATCCTGCAGCCAACAGCCACCCCGCGCCACACCCCTTAAAACGCTCCAAACCCTCCAAACCCTTAAAACCGTCCAAACCCTTAAAAACCGTAAAACCCTTAAAACGTTGACTTGGCATGCTTCATCCTGCAGCCAACAGCCACCCCGCGCCACACATCAATGGCTTCTTATGGCCACTCTTGCAGCCATCCGGTTCTTATGGCCACTCTTGCAGGCAACAGGCACCCCAGCCAACATGCACCCCAGGGCCACACATCAATGGCTTCTTATGGGCGTCCAAGTCTGCCCTTTGCCAGCCCTAAAACCCTCCAAACGCTCCAAACCCTCCAAGCCCTTAAAACCCTCCAAACCCTTGAAAACCGTAAAACCCTTAAAACGTTGCCTTGGCATGCTTCATCCTGCAACCAACAGCCACCCCGCGCCACACATCAATGGCTTCTTATGGCCACTCTTGCAGCTAACCGGCACCCCAGGGCCACACATCAATGGCTTCTTATGGGCGTCCAAGTCTGCCGTTTGCCAGCCCTAAAACCCTCCAAACGCTCCAAACCCTCCAAACCCTTAAAACCCTCCAAACCCTTAAAAACCGTAAAACCCTTAAAACGTTGCCTTGGCATGCTTCATCCTGCACCCAACAGCCACCCCGCGCCACACATCAATGGCTTCTTATGGCCACTCTTGCAGCTAACCGGCACCCCAGGGCCACACATCAATGGCTTCTTATGGGCGTCCAAGTCTGCCGTTTGCCAGCCCTAAAACCCTCCAAACCCTTAAAACGCTCCAAACCCTCCAAACCCTTAAAACCCTCCAAACCCTTCAAAACCGTCAAACCCTTAAAACGTTGACTTGGCATGCTTCATCCTGCAGCCAACAGCCACCCAGCCAACATGCACCCCAGGGCCACACATCAATGGCTTCTTCTGGGCGTCCAAGTCTGCCCTTTGCCAGCCCTAAAACCCTCCAAACGCTCCAAACCCTCCAAACCCTTAAAACCCTCCAAACCCTTAAAAACCGTAAAACCCTTAAAACGTTGACTTGGCATGCTTCATCCTGCAACCAACAGCTACCCCGCGCCACACATCAATGGCTTCTTATGGCCACTCTTGCAGCTAACCGGCACCCCAGGGCCACACATCAATGGCTTCTTATGGGCGTCCAAGTCTGCCGTTTGCCAGCCCTAAACCCCTCCAAACCCTTAAAACGCTCCAAACCCTCCAAACCCTTAAAACCCTCCAAACCCTTAAAAACCGTAAAACCCTTAAAACGTTGACTTGGCATGCTTCATCCTGCAGCCAACAGCCCCCCCGCGCCACACATCAATGGCTTCTTATGGCCACTCTTGCAGCCATCCGGTTCTTATGGCCACTCTTGCAGGCAACAGGCACCCCAGCCAACATGCACCCCAGGGCCACACATCAATGGCTTCTTATGGGCGTCCAAGTCTGCCCTTTGCCAGCCCTAAAACCCTCCAAACCCTCCAAACCCTTAAAACCCTCCAAACCCTTAAAAACCGTAAAACCCTTAAAACGTTGACTTGGCATGCTTCATCCTGCAGCCAACAGCCACCCCGCGCCACACATCAATGGCTTCTTATGGCCACTCTTGCAGCTAACCGGCACCCCAGGGCCACACATCAATGGCTTCTTATGGGCGTCCAAGTCTGCCGTTTGCCAGCCCTAAAACCCTCCAAACGCTCCAAACCCTCCAAACCCTTAAACTCCAAACCCTTAAAAACCGTAAAACCCTTAAAACGTTGCCTTGGCATGCTTCATCCTGCAACCAACAGCCACCCCGCGCCACACATCAATGGCTTCTTATGGCCACTCTTGCAGCCAACCGGCACCCCAGGGCCACACATCAATGGCTTCTTATGGGCGTCCAAGTCTGCCGTTTGCCAGCCCTAAAACCCTCCAAACCCTTAAAATGCTCCAAACCCTCCAAACCCTTAAAACCCTCCAAACCCTTCAAAACCGTAAAACCCTTAAAACGTTGACTTGGCATGCTTCATCCTGCAGCCAACAGCCACCCCGCGCCACACCCCTTAAAACGCTCCAAACCCTCCAAACCCTTAAAACCCTCCAAACCCTTAAAAACCGTAAAACCCTTAAAACGTTGACTTGGCATGCTTCATCCTGCAGCCAACAGCCACCCCGCGCCACACATCAATGGCTTCTTATGGCCACTCTTGCAGCCATCCGGTTCTTATGGCCACTCTTGCAGGCAACAGGCACCCCAGCAACCTTGGCAATGAGCAGGAGCGGTTCAATGTTTCTGCTCGGTACGAGTCCGTGCTCACTAACTGCTGGTTCCCATCTACCCCTTTGCCATCGTTTGCTTTGAACCTCCTGAGACTGCAGCCAATTCACGCAACAAGATTTACCAATGGCAGTCTTGCCGCATTTTTTTATACGACCTCCGGGGGTCGACTTCCTGGCCATCATCCACCCTGCGAGAAACGCCGGGTTCCCGGACCTGACCGATGTCTTTTTTCTTCTGGGAAAGCTCTGCGGTTGCTGCATCCCAACTGCTGCGTGGGCTCTGCATGTGAGCCGTGCATTACGGTATCACGCATGTGCGTTTGAAGCAAATGACGCAAGTGCTGCAGACTGTGGGCTATCAAGACAGTCCCTAGCAACCTTTCGCACAAATAAAGCCTGCGTAGCTGCAGCGATCTCAACAGGAGACATGCGCATTAGAAGGTCTTGGATGTCTTGGGGTGTTTCACAGTCTTTCATCCTGGTGGCGTCGCCACAATGACGTCATGAGTATTCCCCAATTTCTATCATCATTCCACTTTTGCGAATGGAATGCATGTAATGTACTATATATATATACATACGTATGTTTAACAATGTTTAGGCCTAGCCGTTTGCTGGGCTTCTTGAGTGGCTCTATGTCTGCGCACTTCTTCCTCCACCCTTGAAACGGGGTCGGTGGCACCAGGGCGTTAGCCCATTTATTACTATGGAATTACTATGGCCATACCTTCAGTGATCTTTCATGATCTTCATGACTTTCTGACACTGACTGGTTGAGAAAGAACGGGGCTTGGAACAAGCAGCGTCAACCACACTTGTGACATGAGATGTTTGAATTCGGACGGATCTTACATTTCTGGCAAAATACAGAAACTTGTTCTCATCT